ATAAATAAATAAATAAATAGATAGATAGATAGATAGATAGATAGATATCTAGATAGAGAGATAGGTAGATAGTAAAGCTCTAGGGACTACCGACTGACTCAGTCACTGGAGCATGCGACTGTTGATCCCAGGGTGCTGAGTTCATGCCCCACCTTGCATGTAGAGCTTACTTAAAAAAAAAAAAAAAAGTAAAGCTCACAAATGACAGCATATATTTTATAGGTGCATCCCAAGTTTCTAAGTGTAGTATAGGAAACACCATATATCCCAAACTGTCCACTCCTAATTTGAGTCATCCACAAAAGAAGCACAGTTGTAATGTACACTGAGGCAAGTGCGTTTGCTATCAGAATGTAAAATCTATGAGAGCAGGGATTTTTGTCTGTTTTGTTCAGTCTTCAGCCATGAATGGTGCCTTACAGGTTAGAAGGCACTCAGGGAATGCCAAAATGGCTGAGGATGGGGTGGCTACAGACTAAATACTATTAACTACGTGGAATTCTTTACTTCTCAGTGGGCTGGTAGCCTACAGTAAGTAAAAGTAAAGGGAAGCCACTCATATCTGAACTTGATCTTCCATACATTCTATCACTTAGAGTTGCTTTGAGTTCATTATTTCCTCTTTGTAAGGGACTCAGAAGAAGGGCCACCTGTATTTAATAGGTAATACCAGTTCATTAACTCAGAATTGAATGCTTTAATGAGAAGAGGGGAAAAGAAACATTCTTTCCCAAAATAGGTTAAGTACCCATGAGCAATATGGACACTCCTAGATTCTCCTACTTATGACATCTATTAACTCTCCCTTTTCCATGTTAAGAGTGCACCTATACATACCTACAACAAGAAAATAAAATGCAATTAGACTTAAGAATCAGTGACATTACTCTCAAGCTTTAAAGTGTTTTGAAATCCTTCAGAACTTCACAAATTATACTTTATCAAACCTGCTTCTCGGGTCTATACTATTTAACAAGCAAAATCTATTCACTTAGATTTTTCTTATAATACAACTTGATTATACCTGATAATAACCACATTTAAAAAATAGTTTCCCACTAAAGAAAAGCTTTTTCATGTTTCTGTCACAAAAATGCACTTAACATACAGAACCTATTTCGAAGTGGGGGACAGTCTATGTAGACAAAAAGCACAGCAATACTAGACACAGGTCTTACCCTGCTTATACCCCTGCCAATATTTGGTTCCATCTCTAAAAGTGAGACAAGTTCCTTAATATTCAATAGAAGTCTTCCAACATTCATCTCTCTCTCCTCTAAATATCAGACCATGTATTTAATAGTCTTTCGTTCAAAGGAATGGAAAACAAGTTTTTCAACAAGGGTTATGTTTCCAAACTTTAAGGTCTTTAATTTTCAGAAAGAAATCAATTTAAAGCCAATAACTGTTATACTGATATTTCAACATACTAAAAAAAAAAAACCTTTGACTCCATTTTTAGTAAGTTAATATTAAACTAGTAAACGAAAAAAGCTTTGAATTGGTGAACTGTGCTTTAAATGTTACAAACCATGTTAAATTTCCCTAAATATACGAACAAGTTAAAATACCATAATTGTTAAACTACTGGGTTCTTAAACTTAAATAAGTTATTACATACAAAGGGTATCGTTATAAAAGGTATATGTCATGCCAAGAAATAAGCAGATATTGTAGATGTGGTCACAAGTTAGCTGTAGCTAAAAAAGAAAAATATTTACTTGAGAACTCCTCTATGTCATGACTTACCATAATCCAGAACAAAATGTTTATGTCTGTTATTAACATTAAATTGAAAAGGGGGGCGCCTGGGTGGCTCAGTCGTTAAGCATTTGCCTTCGGCTCAGGTCATGATCCCAGCATGCTGGAATCGAGCGGGCTCCCGGCTCAGCGGGAAGCCTGCTTTTCCCTCTCCCACTCCCCCTGCTTGTGTTCCCTCTCTCTGTCAAATAAATAAAATCTTAAAAAAAAAAAAAAAACATTAAATTGAAAGGGAGAAATAACACACCCTGAAGTTTGAATGAAACTTAAAAAAAAAAAAAAGAATGAGCTACCGTATGGTATTTTTTTTTCTAGGTTGCCAGATGATGCTAAAAATAAAATCTCACAATCTTTATAAAATCTGAGAATTTTTTTTTAAGGTTTTATTTATTTATTTGACAGAGAGAGACAGAGCGAGAGAGGGAACACAAGCAGGGGGAGTGGGAGAGGGAGAAGCAGGCTTCCCACCGAGTAGGGAGCCCGATGTGGGGCTCGATCCCAGGACCCTGGGATCATGACCCAAGCCGAAGGCAGACGCTTAACGACTGAGCCACCCAGGAGCCCTAAAATCTGAGAAATTAAACTACAGTATACAGACTACACTTTTGGAAAATTTCATTCCATTAAGAATTTAGTAAAGACTCTTTTAATCATAATACTGATTCAACTACCTGATCAAATCACTCAAGTTAGTCTAAATGGCGGTTTTCTTTGGCGGGGGGAGGGGGGGCCTATAGCTTAAACACTGAAAAGTGTAACGCAAGTCCAGTCTATGCAAAGAGGTTAAACCACGTTAGAATTGTTTCATTTGAAAAAACATTCCAAAATGGCTAATCAGAGATATTAGCATACTTAAATTACTCTCGAAGATCAAGTCATTTTCTTTTAAATGTTTTGTTATAAATATCAACAAAAATAAGGTAAAACAAAGATTATGAAGTATCTTTTTGTTCACCTATACTTGTTAGATCAGTTGCTAGAAGATGACAGACCCTGTCATTTTATAAATTTTAAAGTCAAGCAAAAACTACAAAAACCAATATTCCCAAACTTTACCCTATTTCCCTTCACTGTTTAGTCGGAGTACAAAATAGTGGGATGGAAAGTAGTCAGATTACATTTCCAGCGTTTACCTAGTATCTGAGAATTTCACCTCATAGCCCCAATCTGTCAATTCTTTTAATCCACAATCCTACTGATATGATAAATAAAATGTTTCTACCATAAAACTTTAAAGCTACTAATAATTTGGTTTCAACCCAAATTCTGAAATTAGTTCACTAAGAAAAAATAAGAAGAATCAAGTACAATGTGGAAAAAAAAACAAACACAATGGATATCCAGAAGTAACCATATTCCCCCAAATTCTCTTACCACTAACCATAATTTTATATTTTATGCTAAGTATTACTTGAATAAATTTTGCTATTCAAATTCTGGGATTTAAAAAAAGTTTAACTATTCTAACTCTGACCCTGTCAGTTGTTTCCCAACTAATTTTTTCTTAAAAATCAGTGAACTGTGAAAGGCAAAGTTCACAGAAAAAGTAAAATACCATGTGTTATATTTTAATAAGTTAATTTTATTCACTTTATCTTATGAAAGACCACTTATATCTTATGAAAGACCACTAGGGAGTTAGAATTATACTATTTTACTACTTCTTATCCTAGGTAATGTCACAAGATACTTTAAAATAGTTACATGTAACATACAAGTTTTCATACAATGTAGATAATATGTGTAACTAACACCAATGGGTGGTGGGGGGAATTCACTGTATCATGTGCAATAAAAGAAATGTTTACCAACTCATTTACAAGGGCATGTTTAAAAACTGAGCCAATGGTGAAGGGACCGTGATGAATCTCCACAATCACTAACCTACACTATGGCAAATTCTACTCTTCCAAGAGTGCCAAGAGAGTCCATCAGCATCAAATTTTAATGGAAAAGACTTCGTAAAAAATGTACATTATAGGAAAATAAATTTTCAACAAGAAAACCACTTTTTCTGACCTTTTCAACTTGTGAATCAGATATTCTTAGAAGCACAGCTATTTAGACATGCCATTCCTTCAGATGATGCAATCTTAAGGGATTTGGTAATTATAACATGTTAATTACTAACATAAAATAATATTTATTGCCATGACTATCAGACAAACTTTAAAAGCTTTCACCTATTCCCGAGTCTTCACAGAAATCAGACACCTGGTATGAGAAAATAGGTGTTGAAAGCTTTGCTGGTCACTTCTAAGAGAATCATTATAACCTGAAGAAATTCAAAGGATAATGTACAAAAACTGAGGAAATCTTAACTAATGGGTATGAAAGATCACATAAAAATATTATTCCATGCTGACAAAGCAACATAAAAAGCCACTGCAGAAACCGTGATAAGACTTTATGAGAGCAAAAATAAATGAAAGGGAAAAACACAAACAACAACCATTAAAAGAAAAAAAGAAACAGAGAAACAAAAAAGCACAGTAAAAATGAGGATTATCCCTGGAAAAAAATGTTGATTAAAAAAACTCCTGTTCTAAACACTAAATTTTAAAAGTTCAATTGAAACAATACATTGCCCATTGAAGAGGCCTACAAAAATATTTCTTTAAAAATTACCATTTTAAAAATAGTATAACTTCAACCATATTTTTTTAAAGCCTGTACACTTGGAAAAGACTATTATAATTAGAATAACTTGTCTCCATTTAGAAATTCTCTATTTAAAAGTAGGCCAACAATAGGAACTTTGCTATTGCACAACAGAGAAAGTAAATGAAATAATGTCCATTAACATTCAGCGTGGATGGCATGTTTCTCTATCTCCCAGAACATACCAACTTACGTTATCTGCCCGGAACAATCTACCACTTCTACATCCGAGCAGTAGCTCAAATAAAATGAGTTCCTGTGTTAATCCCACAATAAACCTCAGTAATTCTCACATTACAGTTGTAAACGTTTGTTAACAGAAAAAGAATGTTTTTCCCAAAATAGTTACATATCACTAAGACTACTCAAATTCCTAAATAATCCTTTTACAAGACTCCTGCCAACTTTATTTTGATACATTAAACATGTGGTGCCTATTTTAAAAGGTCTGTAACTGTGACTTCATGAAAACAGCTTCCTAGTTAGCTGTTCATAAAATAACTTCTTTTTAAAGTTTTCACGTTGTTTTTAAGCCGACTTGAATACTGATGAATCTGGGCCGGCTTAAGAAGCAGTTTTGCCAAATAAGATGGGCAAATGTTCTAGATCTGTTAAATCCGACATTAGAGGTCAGGCAACTTAAAAAATGAAATAACTATTTTCAACATTCACTGAGTCCCTCGTTTTTAAAATTACCTCGGTGTCATTTCCACATTTGACGTTTAAGAATACAACCTTTTTGGGCGCCTGGGTGGCTCAGTTCGTTAAGCGACTGCCTTCAGCTCAGGTCATGATCCTGGAGTTCCGGGATCGAGCCCCACATCGGGCTCCCTGCTGAGCAGGGAGTCTGCTTCTCCCTCTGACCCTCTTCCCTCTCGTGCTCTCCATCTCTCATTCTCCCAAATAAATAAATAAAATCTTTAAAAAAAAAAGAATACAACCTTTTAAATTACAAAACAAAACAAAAACTGATCTGCCACAAAAAGCTGATTAGTCTATTCTTAAAGGGTGTCTGGAAGATTTGGGTTACTGGCGGTAGAAGTTTCATTTTAAAACTTCTCTGTTAAAAAGAATGACATCCAAAAAGGATCGCTAGGGAAGGAAGGGAAGAGAAGCCCGGAGTCGGCTAAGAAGCGACTTAAAGCCACTAAGAAGGAAGGAGGTGGTGAGACGCACAGACAGAAGAGCGAGAAAGAAGATTTAACAAGGAAGTGAAGTGGAGCGCAGAGTGGGGCAGAAGCTGATGAGGAAACAAATGGAAAAGGTAAGGTTTTAAATAAGCACGATCCAGGAAGGGATGAGTTAAGGCCTGGGGTACCCCAGTGTTTTGGTGTGAAAGAGATGCTCGCAGACTGAAGCAGAGAACAGGGGAAAGCAGTTTACTTCCAGGCGTTGGAGCAAAGTAAAATTCCCTGCCCCGAGCCTCTCCCAGCCTGGCCGAGCGCGGAGGCGGCGGCTGGGGAAGGGGCCTACCCAGGAGCCAGGCCCGGCGTTCTGCTCCCCCAGGCTCCACGGCAGAAGAGGCGAGGATTAGGCAGGCAGGGCCCACGACCTTAGCCCAGCAGCACCCCGAAAACGGTCCGGGGCCTCGGCGGTGCCCGCGAGCCGTTTCCCCTGCGGCGGGGCGCGGAGCGGCCTTACCTGGGGCGAGGGAGGGAAGCGAGGTCTAGGGCGTCCGCTCTCGCCCGCCGCAGAGACCCCCTGCTGTACTCAGCCCAGGCTTCCGACCGAGGCGCGACCCTGCCTCAGCCGCCGCTTCCCCTTCGGAGTCTCGGCCACCGCCTCCGCCGCCTCCGGGGCTGTTTACACCGTCGGGCCCCGCACGCCGCCGCCGCCGCCGCTGCCGCCTTCTCTCCACCCTAGCGCCGTTGCCGATTCGGCCGCCGCCACCTCCTCCGCCGCAGCCTCGTCTCTCTGGAGCATCTTCCAGCCACCGAACCCTGAGAAACAGAGACTCCAGCCGCGCCGGCAGGAAACTCCCCCGCAACTGCTAAGGGGACCAGGCGGTCAGAGTACCGGCGGCTTTTCCGCCATTGAGCAGCAGCCGCTCCGCTCCTTCTGCAACCCCCTCCCCGCACCCTGTCCTCCCCGCCCCTCGGCGAGCCCCGCCCCCGGCTCACACCCATTGGGACGGTGCAGCCTCTTGCTGCACCCAGTTGGCTAGACGACCCGTCAATCATCACCCTCCCTCCTACTTCGGCTGCTCTGTACCTCGGTACTTAGTTTTCACCGCCCACAATGCCCCGCCTCTCAGTTCCTAATTTCCCATTGGGCATCAGCGACCACCTTCAATTGGCAAGGTCAACTATCCATCAAACACCGCCCACTGAGTGAGACCCAACCCTTCATTACCATTTACTTCATTCAGCCCCGCCTCTGGGCGTTAGGGACCAACCCACCCCAACAGCCATAAGTAGAGATCACCATCAATCAAATAACGCCCACCTGCACTCCGCCTCGCAAAGACCGAGCCCTAGCGATTCTCTTTTCTTATTGGTCCAAAGGGTGACCCGAACCCTCAATCATTGGCTTTCTGTCCGTGTCCGTCACTGAACCAATTTCCAAGTCCGTCACACTGGCTTTTTTTAAATGAACGCGCAAAAGGCGGGGAAGTATCCGAATAGCGATTGGCTAGTGTTCGAAAACGGTCAAATCCAGAGTGTGTGCGGATCCTTCCCGTCCTACGAGAACCATGCTCCTTTATTTTTGACCTCTAAGCCTTGCGTAAAACAGGCTCAATAAAGGAGCCAACGCTCTGTCCAGTTATAGGTGTGGAAGCCTAGTCCCACCCGGAATTGCAGGGGGTTGGCTGCTGATTGGCTAACAAAGTCCTGTTAGGCCCTCATTGGAGAACATAAACGCCTCTCTTTGGCGTAGAGACGGGAAGGGATGGCGCAGGCGAGGATAAGAAGCGGTCCGGGGAGAGGCAGTTGTTTTGCTTCAGCCAACGGGTGGGGCGAACGCGGGAGAGGGAAGCTAGGAACGCAGGGCCCTGGGGGAGGTATTGCGGGGGAGGGAAAAAGCCCGGATGTTTCCTAACAATGAAATCATCGCCGACCAATCAGAGCTGCTGAGCTGTGCTACCTGCCTGACCTGTCCACAGTAGGGAAGAGAATGAGTTAGTGAGCGGGAAACTGGGGTGTCAGGAGATGCTGGAAAGCGAAGTGAGAAAATGGAACAGGTGATCCCTTCAAGAGGACTCTGTGCTGTTAGGGGTTATTTTTATTCTTTCTAGGCCTGCAACGCCTGGCATTCAGCCCTTGACATTTCCGTGTTTTGTTTCTTAGTCAACACTGATTTTTAAAGCTCTCGGCCTAGTCTTTGACATTCATTTGTTCGTCCCACAATTATTGAGCGCCTGCTGTTTGGCAGGCACTATTCCTAGAACTGGAGTTACAAAACTAAATTAGGCAATCCCAGTACAAGATGATAGGTGCTATCACTGAAACATGCAAGGGATGGGGGTGACATAAGGGATCGTCTCTGTGGATAGGTTTATCAAGAAGGCTTCACAAAGAACAGTATGAGTCTAGAAGGAATAATTCAATAAGCAGAAGAGGAAAGTGGACAGGATTCCTTCAGCAATCGAATTAGACTAACAGGTATTGCAAGTTAATTCCCCTCCAAAGAAACAAAACTTAAGTGTAATGAAAGCATTCTAATACCTTAGGATACTTTTTTTTTTTTTTGAAAGTGCCCTGTTAAAGGATTTAAACCTTATTCACACTTTTGTGTAAACTGGTTTGGACAGACAAGTTAAGCTAAGACCCAGCAGAGTGCTATTCAGCTAAAGAGCTGTGGATGTTTTAGGAATAAGGGCAAATTTAGGTATAGGACAATTGCCCAAAGTCATGGTGAGGATGGCAGAAATAAAGACTTGATTGCAGTTCAGATTTTTTGTCTATGACCCAAATTTGCATAACATTAGTGTTTTTTACAGTACGGTGGCTGGACCACCAGGGCGGTACTCACCTGGGGTGCCGATTCCTGGGTCCACTCACACCTTTAATCTCAGGGACTCTGAAACAAGACTTAGAAAGGTGAATTTCTAAATTCTCCAGGTGGGTTTTCTGCACACCCATGATTGAGATCCTCTAGTATAGGTAATGGAGATACCATAGACTAAAATTCAATTTCCCCACTTCTTCATGTTGGGAGGAAAAGTAATGAAGAAAAAAGAAGTAGGCCCTTTAGACTTTGCCTTTCTCTTGTCCCCTTTACTATCAGTATCAGTTCTTAGGAAATATTTCTTAAATAACTTATAAAATACATTCCCTTAAATCACACTCCTTTGTCTGACACACTTTATACAGGGTGAAAGGAGTCTAGGATCCCAGCTTCCAAAATAGGAATCTAAAGATCATAAAAGTGGAGACATTGTAGGACCCTGGTCTTAAGAATCCAGGCAATCTCAGGAGGGCATCAGAGAAGTTTCCTGATCTGCTGGATTTCCTTCTCACGTTCCCTTGGTTGAGCCTAAAACTAATACAAAGCACAAACATTTAGGTGGGCTGATGATTGCGTATCATTCATTCTTTCAATCTCTAAAAATACAGATGCACTGAATGCTGTTCTAGGGGCTAAGAATACAATAGGGATCAAAACACATTTAGATTAATTTTGTCATGTGCTTTATTTGATTAAAACTCTAAACCAATAAAGAAGGCCCAACAAGATTCACAAATTTAAAAGGTAAATTGATGTGTACCATCATAAACATATAATGTATCATAAACATTGAGTACCATCACCACGGGCTCTGTTACTGTGTGGATGCAGCTAATCTAAGCACTCTGAGGCTTGTTTACTTGTTCTGTAAATAGGAATCACGGAAATCTTTGGAAGCCAGGTGAAGAGCTTTAGATGCTGTTAGTAATGCAAAGCACTCTCCAAAAGACAGTGGAAACAATACTAAATGTAATGTAGAAAAACTCTTGATTTCTCCAATGTTGGCTTTCATACTCTGGTGTTCCTTTTTATTTTTTTAAGATTGTATTTATTTATTCATTTGAGAGAGAGAGTGCACACTATCTCAAGTGGGGGAAGGGCAGAGGGAGAGAAAGAATCATGGAGCTTAATGTGGGGCCCTATCTCAAGACCCTGACATCATGATCCCAGCTGAAACCAAGAGTCAGACATTTAACCGAATGAGCAACGAAGGTGCCTCTATTTTTTATTTTTTTTAAGATTTATTTGTTGGGGCCCTCCATGTGGCTCAGTGGGTTGAGTGGTGGACTCTTGGTTTCGGCTCAGGTCATGATCTCAAGGGTCATGAGATCGGGCCCCACGTGGGGCTTGGTGCTTAGAGGGGAGTCTGAAGATTCTCTCCCTCTGCCCATCCTCCTGCACGTGTGTGCTCTCTCTCTCTCAAATAAAATAGACAAATCTTGAAGATTTATTTATTTGAGAGAGATGGAGGGGGCAGAGGGAGAAAATCTTTCAAGCAGATTCCCTGCTGAGTGTAGAGCTCCACGTGGGGCTGGATCTCATGACCCTTGAGATCATGACCTGAGCTGAAACCAAGAGTCAGACGCTCAACTGACTGAGCCACCTAGGCACTCCTGGTATCCTTTTTTAAATAAGACATTAGATATCAATTGTCTCCAAAGTTTAGGTGCCTCAGTTTTGCTGGTACCCTAAATCCACACCTGATAATCCAGTACTGCCTACTTCATGTGATTATTATAAAGATGAAATGGGATGTGGTATACAATAACACCTAACACATTGGCTGTCACAGTGGAATCATAATTTTTATATGTCACACAGAAGAAATCTCACATATTCATTCAGCATATTTATATGCCAGTTATGTGCAGACCATTATGCTCTCTCTGACAGGGAGCTTTGGTGTCAAATTTCAAGTAGTCCAGTTTGAGCAGATGGATCCACACCCCTCTTCACCACTGGAAATATTCCACTGATAAACCTCTTTTCTTCATAAAAAAAAATTTTTTTTCACCAGTTCCACTCTACACTTATTAAGCATTCACTGTGAATCAGGTACCAATAATCAGGTAAATAATAGGCACTGCTGCCTTTGAAATTAATTAACTGTGATATTGTGATATAATAAGAAATCTATATTTAATCTTCATCCCAGTTCCTGGCAGGGAGCTCCTAAAACCCTTACCATTTTTTGTGTGATAGGGGTAAGGAGAGCATTTTTGTTATTAACAAGAAGCCTTTTTGTTTTTTTTTTTAAGTAAGCTCTAGGCCCAACATGGGGCTTGAACTCAAGACCCTGAGATCATGCTCTACCACTGAGTCAGCCTGGTGCCCCTTAAGAAGCCTGTTTGAACTCCTAAAGTTATGCTAACGTGGTAACTCATAGAGAATAGTTGCTTGCCAAAGGAAGCAAGTATGTAATAAGGTCAGAACTTTCAGCCTCACCCCCTACTTCTGGGGAGGGCAAAGGAGATGGAAATGAACTTAACCACCAATGGCCAATGATGTAATCAATCATGCTATGTAATGAAGCCCCCATAAAATCCCTAAATGACTGGGTTTGGAGAACTCCTGGGTTGGCATACACATCGAGGTGCTGAGAAGGCCGTGATCCTGGTGAGGCCAGGGAAGCTCCATGCCTCTTCCCACATAGCTTGCCCTATGCCTCTCTTCCATTTGGCTGTTCCCAAGTTCTATCCTTTATATAAACGGATCATAGTAAGTAAAGTGCTTTCCTGAGTTCTGTGAACAATTCTAGAAAAATTATCAACCCTGAGGAATGGGTTGTGGGAATCCCCATTTATCGCTGGGTGGTCAGTAGTACAGGGCACAACCTGGGACTTGTGATTGGCCTCTAAAAATGGGGACAGGGGCGCCTGGGTGGCTCAGTCGGTTAAGCGACCGCCTTCGGCTCAGGTCATGATCCTGGAGTCCCGGGATCGAGCCCCGCATCGGGCTCCCCGCTCGGCGGGGAGTCTGCTTCTCCCTCTGACCCTCTTCCCTCTCGTGCTCTCTATCTCTCATTCTCTCTCTCTCAAATAAATAAATCTTTAAAAAATAAAAATAAAAATAAAAATAAAAATGGGGACAGTTTTGTGGGACTGAGTTCTTAACCCGTGGCAACTGCCCTAACTCCAGGTAGTTAGTGTCAGCATTGCTTAAGGAGAGGAAAAGAGCCCACATATCAGGTCAGAAGTGTTGTGAGTAGAGTAGGAA